GCAAAGTCAGAGGGGGCAGCTCCCTCTGCTCAGGCACCATACACACAAACCCTCGCTGAGTCTTCTCCTTGCTGCCACTGCCAGGGAGCACAGTTTGCTTCTGGAACAATCTACAGCTCCACTATGGCACTGGACTACGTGGCTTGCACCAAATCCTCGCTTTTTCCTGCTGCCATCTCTCATGCACTGTACCCCTCCCAGCTCAGGACCATATTCACCATGTTACATACAAAGAATGAACATCTACTGTCATTCCAACAATTCTTTCAGACCTCATTTCAGCACAAAAGATTCACAAGGAAAGAAAATTGAAGGACAAATAAAGCATCATAAAATGTAGCCTGTGGGTCACTGCATGAGCATGGCTGTAACAAGAGAATAAATCACAACACCACAACACAAAATAGCACTTACTTACAGCAGGATCCACATGCTGCTCTTCTTTCCTCCTCACACTGCAATAGAGCCAGGGCTGCCACAGCAGCTCCAAGCCCATCAGGAATCTCACAGGTACCTTGAAATCACCTCTCTGAGGCTGAAAGTACCCAGATCACATTGCCCATCCTCAGCCTTTCCCTAGGGTCAGGACTTGGAGTCATCCATAGTCATAAAACTTTAAACTTTTCCTAAAGAAAAGCCAAAACTCCCCATGGCACTTCCTTCAGAGGCAAGGCAGCAACCGCCCCACACCTGCCCTGCCCTGTGTTGTGTTCTCAATCTCCAGGCCCTGCCCCAGGGCTAGGGAACAAAGTTAATTAAGGTCATTAACAGCTTCAGCTGGGCTGGGCTGGCCACAGCTGCGTCAGATCCCCACTACAAATGATCAGCTATTGAGCACACCTGAGTGGCACTCACTGAGGCTACAGGAGAAATCACTTTGAGCACAAAGAAAGGCATTTTAATTTGGAATAGGTGACTTACCCTTCAAGGTTACACCCTACAGTTAGACAGCAGACAGGAAGGAAATCTATCTGCATAATAATATTTTATTAATGATACGAGCTGAAACACATCAAAGCCTTCCTTCCTAGTGCCTTAGTGTGTTCTTACACATCCAAGCAGGCAGGAAAAGCTGTGTCAGGGAGGAGAAGCTACTCCATGCTCAGCCTTCTTGCACCAAAAAAAAACCCCAAAAACCCAGATGATGATGATGATGATGATTATTATTATTATTACTTTTGTCTCACTAGATATCCTGGAGAAGAACCTATAGAGCAAACCTTTGAAAAATCCCACTGATTGCTCATGTTTTCAGCCCACTTTAAATGGAGAAAAATTCTGTTGTAGAAACAACCTTTCCTCTGTTCAGAGGACAAGCATGGGAAAGAAGCAGCAGCAAGAACCCATGCAGGTTCCTGTAGGGATTAATTACCTGTGAGGAATGCTGGGACTCTGCTCTAGGGGGAATTCAGGACAGGTTATCCTTACCCAACAACAGCCTCACTGTGCTGGGAGAGCAAAGCAGCTCCTACCATGGACTGCACTCCTAAGGAGAGACACACAACTTCACAGGGCTCACTCAGAGCAAATAAATGCCAAAAAAATTAAAAAATTGTATAAATGAAGAATTAAAAGTAACAGACCCAGTTGTGGATTATTTAGTAAACAATTTTACAAAATTTTACAACGTTTTTATCTAAATGTTTTTATCTCAACTAACAATTTGAATATGATCTTTCATTTTAAATCATGTGACTCCACCGCATCCGTGAAGTTGGACACAAATTTCAAAGGGAATATATGTATCAGCAGGCAGCATTTGATTTTCTCTTTCTAATTAATGGGTTGACAAATTTAATATATTCCTTGCCTCTATATTTATAGCCAAAAATTTAAATGACATAGTTAAGATATTCTTGCTCATCAGAAACAAGGAGGATTAAAAGATTTTTACTGCAGACAAACTAACATGAAATTCAAAAGATCATGTTGTTTTTCTAAATACTGGAGGGACTATTAAAGTTATACACAAATATTTCTTCAAAGAAAATAGATTTAACCTTCTCTCAGGAATCAGGATATTCTGTAAAAAAATTACTGATGGCTGTAACAGCCAATCTGATTGTTTTCCAAGTTTCCAGAATACCAAAGCTGCAAATGCCCAATAATGTTTTGGGAGATTTTTAAATGAAAGGCAAAACCCCTCCTGAGCCTTCATGTTACTGCTCTGACCTGCCTGCTCTCAGAAGCAATTCTATCTTCAAGAATGTTTAGAATTACAATTTTTTCCTCACTGCATATCATGTCCTTTACAGAGTACAATATCTGGGGACTTTAACGCTCTTAGACCCTTCAATCCCTTCAAAAATAGGTCGAGCTCCTTTTTAAAGTTCCAGTAAGAGACATCCTTGGAACAGTCTGCATGACAATTTGCTTCCTTTCTGCTTCAAATCACCAGATCATACCACTCCTCATAGGACAGACAAAAAAAAAGCATTAAAAACAATTAATGACTATTTGTGTGCTGCTCATCAAAAACGTTACATGGATCAAAGATGAGCAAATATTTCATAACCTAAAAGTGCTCAAGAGAGGTGGGAGAAGGAAGTAAAGAAAACAATGAGCAAAGATATTAACATAGATTCAAACCATTATCATCTGCTGGGATTATTTACGTACTCATGTTAAATTGAATTCTACCGCAGTTCTAGAAAATGAAATTTTAGAAATGCACATAAAAATCTTGGCTCTAGCCATTATTCAAGCTTCAAAAATTAATAAAAGTTCTTAATTAATATTCATGCCTCCAGATTTCTATATTCATATAAGTATTGGAATGAATTTATTCATCAGAAACGTTCTAATATTTGGTAATTTAATAATAGTTGATTAATTCTGGCACAGCAGTTTTCAACTGGGCTGATTTCATTCAAAGTTATTGGTCTGACTCATGTTTATGATGTACATAACAGTTAATGTTGCAGGTAGTACAACTGAACATTAATAACATGACTGGTTACAAAATCTGCAGGATAATTAGTCTTTATATATTTAAAATCCATTAAGCACTGCTACATTTAAAATAGATGTTACTATTTGTAAATGGAATTGCTCTTTGGTCTGAACTTCCCATGTTAGCTCAGTAAATTAATGCTTTCAGGGCAATTAGAAATCTAAAATAATCTGGAAGCACAAAGTCCTGCTGAAAATGCAGCAATATACTAAATGGGTGGGGTTTTTTTCCAAGGAACCAAATAGTGAAATTGCTGTTTTGCAGTTCAGGCAGGATTTTTTTTGTCATCTCTGACAAGAATCAGCAAATATAGCTTTGCCTTCGGCATTTGGTGTTTACATGGACCTCCTGATAAAGAGTAGGGAAATGTCAGGTGAGCACTGAAATGACTGATGTTACATTTCAGTGTTATTAATACTATTATTTTCCACACTTTTTCAGAACACATGACAGAAAACCCATTCACATCAGAAGGTGAGAATATTAAACAAGTTATGTGTTTCTTTATAAAAATATGGACTATTTAACAAAGCAACAGATGTAATGTACATTTGCTTCAAAGTACATTTACTTCATGTGTCCAGATAAGGAGCATCTGGAAACACAGAAATGTAATGAACACAGAAATACAATCTGGAAACAGAAACATAATTTGGGAATAAAAGCTGTCCAAAGAGTTCACATTCATCTCTGCCTGTAATGGACATGTACATCTGAACTTATTTTATTCATCTTCCTGACACAGGAGAATATTTTAAAAAATACTTCAAGTTACCTTAATAGAACAAGTTGCAGAATGTTTTACAACACAGAGGACTTGCCAAGGAAAATGTAAGCAAAGAAATATTAAACTGCTTTGCTTTAAATATAGTATTTGATAACAAGAGCTGCAATTACTAATCAAGGACATCAAAGACAAAACACATACGCTCCAAGAGAGCTTAAATGTAAATTACTCCTTGAAAAAGACACAGCTTCATGCAATGTAATCAGATTCCTACCAATTATGATATTAGAAGATTAATAGTAAAATACAAAACAAAAGTAGAAATGGGAACACATAGGACAGAACGGGAACCTTTTTTTTTTATTTCCCCAGAAATACCATTTTTTATTTATATTAATCATTAAACAGGCAGACCAAAAACAGAAAGACAAGCTGGGGCAATAAGACAGATGCTCTTCTTCATCACTTCTCTTTGCTATTGAAATGCCATCTTTCTGGTATCAAAACCTGTTTCTCAAGGTTATCTTCCAGCCCTTGCTCTTTCTCAGCCCCATCTTCTTCTTTTCTAACTTGATGTAATTTAATTTAATTCAATTTAAGGAAATCTTTTCTTAAATTAAATAATGGTGTTTGGCTTTACAGGTTACATACATGCTCCTGCAGCAGTTTTACAGCTTTAAACAAATCACGGAGGGAATCTTGTCAGAACTTTCCTGTAGTGGGTATGGGGGAGATTGAGCTAAAATGAACACAAATAAATGAAGTCCAAGCCCTAGGAGCCCCTATTACAGCATTTTTCCATTCATAGGCAAAATGTAAGGCAATCTTAATTAATGACTTTTCTTCTTCATATATCACATTACACTTCAATTAAAGACAGATTTTGAAGTTTGTGGCTTGACAGTACAGTAAATCTGGCTTTAAATTTGACAGAGCTGTATCAAAATCAATACAGCCATAGAGGATCAAAATGCTGATCCAGCACAGGCCCTGCCTGCTCGCTCCAAATCATGCCAAGCATTCACAGAGTAATTTCATACCAACCTCTTTTCTGCTGAATAAGACGTCTCAGTAACACTTTTCTACAAGGAGACATCACAGAATTAATCTCATGACTAACCAAGGTGACAGGAACTCCACAGATCCCTTGTTCTGTAATCCGGTAGATGATTTGATTTCCCCCTCGATCACACTGAGATCAGCTTTGTACAGGAGGGGTGATTGAATACTCCTATTGTCCCATTCCTGACAGGTCCCTTTTTGGGGTAAATACCTGTTTCCAGTAACTTCACTCTCTGTCCTGGAGGAGCTGGGGCACACCTTAATTCCCCGCTTTGGAAGTGGGCTGAAGGGCTGTGTGCTTCCAAGATACAGGAGCACAAATGAGCCCAAAGGCTCTTGTTCTTCCAACAGGTTCAGGAAATACTCAACCAAAAGCTGTTTCTGTAACGACTCCAAGAGGACGCCACGTTTACACAGCCCCACAACCAACAGGACACAAGAAAGGCACAAAGACATCTGCACAAAAATAAACAAGAAACGTAAAAAGCAAGTTTATTTGAGAGAGAATCTGAATAAAATTTTAAGTGTTGGAATATGAAGCTTCATTTGGACAGTGGCGACACTATGGAAATGGAACACTGTAAAAAGTATGAATTTTGCTTTTAAATTGCTTTCTACTGTCTCAGCTTATAAACACTTAGAATCTACAGCTTGACAACATAATTCAGTTTTATCTAATATGGTTTCCCCATCATCTGTCACCAAATAAATATCTCCAATAATGTGTAAGCAGTTTTACCTAGAATAAAAGTCTGTAACATTATAATAAAAGTCTGTAATACTGTTACAACATGGAAGTGGCATTTAGTAAATGCAACCAGAAAACACAATGTGATTCAGTAAGAATTAATAACCTAAACTGATACACAATGAAAACACATTTTCCATCAAAACTGTTTAATGCAGCCTGTTTTCTCCAGCACACCAAGGCAGCAAAGGTGGCTGGGATCCTGTGGGGAAAGATCCCACAAAGCTATCTCAGATTTTTGCCTATCCATACTGCAGCATAAGGAATTAAAAATACTGTTGGTTATTTTTTAAAATTTTTATAAAGATTATCAGATGCCTTCCAAATCTGCACTTTCTGCTTCCCTGACTTCCACCTTCTGCCCTGACTAGGCAGGAGACAGAGGATGCCTCTGAAGCCTAAAGTCAGACCTGGGGAAGGCTGGCAGGGATTTAGGTTGGTGGAATACAACAGACTCTACTACTGGTGCTTGGCCAGTGGGAATTCCCAGTGTTCAATCAGGGAGCTCCAGTCCCTTGCTCCATCTCAGCCATGCAAAAAACCCCTCTGGGGATCTGTTTTGCATTTAGTGTCAAAAAAGAGAGTTTTGTTTTAGGACTGAGAGCAGAATTGTTCATAAACAGCTGTTCATAAAGAAAGATAAGTAAAAATGCAAAAATCAAGATTATCATACCCTTTTGGGTATGCTGGTGTTAAGATCCAGGCTTTGAAGAAAATTCACACATCGATTCCAGAAATTCCTTGTTTGGGTTTAAGTTTCTCTTTAATCCCCATAGTTTATAACTTGTGTCTTTCAGATTAAACTAGATGCATCTCAAGAACAAAAACAAACAAAAATTATAGCTCTCACACCATTCTATTTCTTTCCTCACTGTACATGGATAAAAAGTGCTCCATGTAATAAATATTACATAAGGTGCAATACATTTCAATAAAGCAAACTGATACATTTTTGAAGATCAGGTATAAGATTGACCATATTTCACTTAAATCTTCAAAGAAGCAAAGAAATTATTATTAACAAGCTAGTAATAAGTCTGACATGCAAAGAAAAAGTGCTGAATTATTTAATGAAATATGCTGAAAATTTCATATAAGACATCAATTAATTCTTTGCTTTCTAAACATAAAAAAGATTATAACTCAAAGCTCAAAGTGATTTTAAGCAGTACCTTTCCTGAATTCTTTCCTCTTCCCCATAATAAAAGTGTGTCCTTTTTTCCAACCAAAAGGAAGCACCAATCAAGTCCTTACTGGGAAAAACAAATTGGTGGGAAATGTTTTAGTTAGTTATACCATTACAGGGTGAGGTTCTGAGTCTAGGATCTGGATGTCAACAAGCCCAATTCTTCCTCATCAACACTTTGGATTTCTATGGGCAGAGTGCAAATACACTTTTCAAAATCCAAACCAAAACAAATAGGTAAGAGAATTAAGAATCATGTATTCAAACCTCACACACATACAACATTTTTAAATCAGTGTTAAACATTTTTTTGAGAATCTGATAGCTAATTCTGGAATATACAGTAATGTGAGGTGACCCAGAGTACTAAAGCATTTTGTAATTTCATTCCTCTTCAAGAAAGCATACAAACATGTGTTTAACTTTAATCATAGATCATCTTACTGCCTTCATCTGGACAAAATCATTAAAGATGAACACGTGCTTAAATGCCTCTCTGAAAAGGGATGAGATTACTCACACTGCTATGGTTGATTCTGTGTTTCTGTGCTGTGGTGGCCTCCTGGCAGGCCGAGCTGAGAGTGCTGACAGCAGGCTCAAGCTGCAGTGCCCTGCAGCAGAGGCTGCACCGTGCCTCCTGCCCTCCCAACAACTCATGCCAGACCAGCCTCTCCAGTGGGACTGCGCCAAAACTCATAAAAAACTACAGCCAGTGAGTCAAGCCAGTTCCAAGAAACTTTACACTGACATTAATTTTTTTTTTTCAGTAAAACCACTGATAAAGTTAATAGTTATTGCCAAGTCCACTTGCTAGGTACTAAGATTAAAGTCTAGCTATTAACAAGCCTAAATGAGAAGTGGTGAAGGGTGCAGAACAACACCTTTGGTATATGAGGACTATCTTCTGTAAAATATCGAGCTTATTCTTGCACAGAGCCTCAAGCTATGGTGCTGGAGATGCATTCTGTGTGTCAACCCTCCCTCTCTTAACGCACCATATTTATGGCCCTTCCAACTGCAATGTCCAACTGCCTTCCTAGAAATTGGAGGATAAAAGTAAACCAGACAGAGCTCAGAGCAAGCTGAAATCCATTTCCAGGGAATTAAATTCAGTTCAGAGCACGTATCAAATATCCAGCCCTTCTTCTTGGAATAAAAACAGTGCTACAAAAGGCCCAAACAAATTCCTTCCAAATTGCCCATGATTTCAAATGTAATCATGTCAAATTGGTTAATCCAGTAAAAAACTGGTAGCCAGCACCGAGACAGACAAACAAGCATATGAGAACTTTAAGAAACTGGGATCTGTGAAACTAATAGAGATCAACACTGTAGCCCAGCTGTTTGCTCTGCAGCCACTCACAGAGCAGTGCATTTAGCATATAAGCCACTTGTCACAGCTGGTCTTGCACAGAACTGAACCACTCCTCCCAGCTGGATTGCTGTACTGGATTGCCATGCCACACTGACTGTCAGGATGGGGTTTTTCACATCTGGGCAAGGAAAGTTCCTTTGATAAATGCCACCACTTGTTATGGAAACGAGCATCACCTGCCCCAAGGGAACAATGACTCTGGACTATGTGCATCACTTGGAAAAGACTTCACCTACCGCCTGGCATTCTTCTGCCACAGCTCCTGAAAAATCCTCATAATATTTCTGCAATTAAAAGCACCTACCATTTTGCAGTCTTAAAGCACAAAACAAGAATTTAAGTTTGCACCTTAAAAATAATGCATCTCAAGCCAATTTACTTACACTTTTTGGCATCTACATTGACATGACTGGTTTTGTTCCTGTAGTTAACATCCTTCCTAAAATCAATTCTATTTTTTATAGAGCAAGCTAACTGGAAAATGGATTTTCAAGTTAAAACAAGGTAGCAATCCAAGATTAGATTTGTCATTTGCTTGTTTCTCAGCATTTAAGAAATACACAAAGCCAAATTGCCAGTTTTTGTCCACACAATTCTTTAGTCAGCTGAATTCCACCCAGACTGACAGAGAAAAAACTCAGGCATCTGCATGGTTACACCTTTGCATTTTTCCAGATAAACCCTGTGACACAATAAAGTATTTTGGTAACACTAAAACCAGTAAGAGATATTAGTTAAATATTTTTAGATTCTTTGGCCCATAATGTGTGAGGATGCAAACATTCAGTGAAAGTCGGGATAATACGAACCAATAAAGGGTGGGGGGTGGAACAAATCAAAACACAGACCTCCTCCCACCCCTAAATTTTGAGGTAGTGATACAATAACTTTTGAAGTTACCTATATGTATCTCTAAAGCTGAGAAAAAAGATTTCATCTCTACCCTGGGCAGTTAAACTTGTTTTAAAAACAACTGAATAGGTTCACACACGTCACAAGATTACATTTTGTTACTTTCCAGCTCCAGCAGTTGCTCTAGTGCCCCAGCCCCTTCAGCAATTCCAGCAGGGAGACTGAACAATGGACAAACACACAGAACTGCAGCATCCTTTTGGATATTTAACATCCCAGACTTCTAAGGAACATTGGTATGATGGTGAGGGAAAACCTGAACTGCCTTTAGCTTTATTGTATTTGGCACAGCAGTTGTTTGTAAATAGGATCTCAGGAGAGAGCAAGATGGGTTGGGTTCTAAAAATAAAGGAAGGATTTAATTGAGGGAAGGGGGAATATTATCTCTTGGAATGGTTGTAGGTGACAAAAAGGAGGGAGTACAATTTAAGTGCAGAGAGAGACTCCTCTTAGGGGGGTAACTGCTACCAAAAGAAGTCTTAGGGGTGCAGCGAACAATGCAAAATAATAATGGGGTTCATTCTGTCAGAAACACTCAAAAAATTTATGCTGCTAAAAAGAGATTAAAAACATCCATGATCCTATTTCTTTCAAATTAGTTTGTGAGGGGGCAGCTGTGGCACTGCTTCCCAAGAGTACTTTTCAAGAAAGGCAAAAAGTTCACTATCGAAAATTCCTTCTTCCGAATTTTTTTTTTGTAGAAATAATTCTTGCTTCATAGACATGTGCAGATACATTAACCTCCCTGAAAATACTTTATATTGAAATAGTGTGAATATTTGTAATAAATGTAGGTATTTTAATAAATCAGTAAAGAAATTAATTATTTTTCTGAAATTATCTGAAATGACCCAGATCTGCTGAGAAGGAGGTGAATTACTTATTGTAAATTTTAAGATCTAGAATGACTCTAGTGTAATTTGTCATTACCAAATGTCAGGAACAGAAGATATGTTTTTTCCACTGAGTTCATGAAACAAAAATATTTGTTAATGTTTGGGACAAAAATAAGAAGAGCAGATAGATTCACTCACATAAAATAACAGCTCTGTGACTCCAGGCTCTCTTAGGAGATTTTAAAGCCTTTAACTGAAGCACAGATTGATCATCATGAAAATTAAACTATTTACTCTGACTAGCATCTCAACTCCTATTAAATCCTTTTACTGATTTCTAATTTTCTAAATAGATTTGCTGTATTTGCTGCCTTACAAACAGCCAATATTTCTTCTGAA